TAAAGAAATTTTAAAAGAATAAAAACAATACCAATTTTGAAAGAAAAAAGTAAGGAAGGTAAAGGAAAGTAATAGGTTAAAAAAGTATGAAGAAAGAAGAGAAAGGAAAGGAAAAGTTATAAAGAACAGCTTCTAATCTTCTTAACAGCAGTTACAAGTACATTTATACCCTAAGGTTACCATGTAATTTCCTTCTTTCCATAGTCTACCCTCATCAGACCTGTAAATCACAAGTTCATTTTTCTTTTTTTTAGCAAAAAGTCCATAAGGGGTTTCCAGTAACTAATGTAGTTATTGTCCTTTCTCTAATCAAACAAGTCAATTTTGCCATCTCTGCTAATTCTGTCATCTTCACCAGCCATTCTTCTGTTGTGGGTATTTCAGAGTATTTCCATTTTTGTGCATATAATTTTCTCGCAGCAGTTATCATTTATAATAGGAGTCTTCCATAACCCTTTTCAAATTGTCTATCCATTCATTCCAAGAAGAAAAGTTTTGGTTTCAATTGAATATTAATTTTTAAAATTCTTTGTATCACTGTGTGTATTTGAACCCAAAATTTTCTGGCTTTTTTGTAAGTCCATCAGGCATGATAAAATGACCCTTCAAGTTTTCCACATTTCTAACATAAATGTTCCTTCCTCATTCCCAAGGCTATGTCTATATGTTCCTTCACGCTGGGGTAGGCACAGTGAATGGGTTCCCACATTGCAGTACACCAAGGGGGCACAACTTCTTTCAGGTTGAGGGTAATGTTGGACCTGTGAGTGCCATGCTGGACTCCAAAAACAGCAGGAGGACCCATTAATAAACATTACATTTGATTTCATTCCAGTTCACTTGAATGTCTTTAAAATTAAATATGCAGGTAGTCCTTGACTTATGACCACAATTGGGACCAGAACTTCCATTGCTAAATGATCCAGTAATTGAGTTGTGCCCGATTTTACAACCTTTTTGCCACAGTCGTTAAGTGAATCACATGGTTGTTAAACAAATCCGGCTTCCCCCATTCACTTAGCTTGTCAGAAGCCCCTGGGAAGGTTGCAAATGGTAATCATGTGACCCCAGGATGCTGCAACTGTTGTAAATACATGCCAGTTGCCAAACACCCAAATTTTGATCACGCGACTGCAGGGATGCTACGATGGTTATAAGTGCAAGGGCCGGTCATAAGTCATTTTTTTCAGTGCTGTGATAACTTCAAACAGTTGTTAAACAAATGGTCGTAAGTCGAGGACTGCCCATAGTTAGTAGTATTGTTTTTTTGACATGTATTTAATCATTGTTCTTTCTGTTACATTAGATAATTACAATTTGGCAATAACTTTTAGAGGTCTCTGGGGATGACAACCAGGCTTTCAGAAGCCAGCTCTGGGACCCCAGCTTTATCCCTTCTGCACTAAGCGTGCTAAGCCAGGAACCATGTCTTATGAACCATAATGGCTAGGTTGTTAATAATAGTCATACAGAGGAATGTACTGGATTATCCTGAGTTAACTCTGCTAAATATGATTGATGTATGAAAAAAGGGAAGTGTGTGGAATGTGTGAACAATTACTTGCTTATATTTGTATAACTCTTTCAGGAATGTCTACCACTGGCTGATCTTCTTTTATTTGTAACCTAGAGAGTGTTATGTTTAGTGAAAAGGTTGAATTTTTTTAAAAAATATTCAATTTCATTCTACCCTTTAAAACTGGTTTCTTTTCAAGGCAGTTGCTGTAGAAATAGTTATGATCTGTTTAGAAGAAACTATAGTCTGAGCTCATAACAAAAATAATGTTATGTTCTTACATACCTAGATGTCAACAGAGATTACTTACTGTTCTCTTTGACCCCCAACTGATGTATTTATATTGCACAGTACAATCTTCTATCTGAATGATCTACAAATGTTTACATCATCATAAGTAAATGTTGTGGTACTTAAGATGCCTCAAATCTCTGTTGTTCATAAGGTGTATCAGTTATCTGTTGAAGTGTGCCCAGAATGGTGGCTTATTTCATGTAAATTATTTGGGTCAGTGGGAAGGACATACATATTTATGTAAATTGAGGACAATGATCACCTGAAGTCTTAAAAACAAAGAGAAAAACCTTTTTTATCTATCAGAATAACAATAAATAAATGCTTACCGTCCTGGAACAGAGAATTGATATGGAACAATGTAGTTTGTATCTAGAAAGGCATTTTAAAAGAATTACAGTGACTTTAACTGTAGCTCCATCTGCTTTATTTCTATTAAACAGTTGTTTCCTTGTGGGAGGCAATGCTGTGGTGCTTTGCACTAAGAATATTAATAACATCGTTAGGCTTCTTCCATTGTATATACTAAGATTATTCCAGAATTGGTAATGTATGTAATTGATAGCTGTAAAATAGACCCAGTTTGGTGCAGGGGTTAAGGTGTTGGACTAGAAACCAGGAGACTGTGAGTTCTAGTCCTCCCATAGGCAGGAAAGTCAGCTGGGGGACTTTGGGCCAGTCCCTCTCTCTCAGCCCAACCCACCTCACAGGGTGGCTAGAAATCAGGGCAATCTGCTCATAAAGCTCCTAGAAACATTCAGTCCAAGTTTTAACTAAACACAGACTTACTTGGCTGGGGAAAGCTTACATAAAAAGGTAGACTTTTTTCAAAATGCCTGAAACTTACCCTAATTGTCTAATATGTTTCAGAGTATATCTTAGAGGAAAAGCTAACTGGGCAGAGAGACTATGTGCCGTCTAATTCCACTGTGCAGGTCTTCACTGCTCAGTTGCTTGTTTGGAAAACCTGCTTGTGAGACTGTTAATTGCCAAATTGGATTCCACAAAAGTGGATGGTGCTTCCTACTCTGAGCATGTCCCAGCTGGCCTGAAGGCCAAGGAGAAAAGAAAAGCTCCGTGTCTGAGACGTAGGAAAGTTTGGCTGGCCCTCCCAGCCTGTCTTGTGATGATGACTCACCTCTTATGGGAGGCTTGGATTTGCTAACACATTGTTAAGACATCCTGAAAAGTCCCAGCTTATCTCCCTGTGCAGGGTGACTTGAATACAGTATTGAATTCAGAGCTTGAATACAGTATCACAGCAGGTACAGTATATGGAGAATTGCCATTTCCCTGGCCCAGATTTTTTGCCCCATAGTTCATTGGATTGAGAAAAATAAAATTGGTAGATACATCTGACAGAGGAGCTCTTCATGGTTACGTGGATACATGCTGCATAACCCTGTACAGTTTTGCTCATATCTACATGATGTAAATATAATTACCTTGTGGAATTGCAACAAGTTTCATTTGTGTACCAAGAGTATTTCACTATGTCAGCAGCCACATTTCTTACCCTGAAAAAGCACCACAAGGTTCAGGACTGGCTTATCAGGAGATGTGGTCAAGTGAGATGTAAGATGGCCGACGCCACCACTGAACTTAAAGTGACTGGTCTCATTGAACTGTTCTGTCTTGCTAATAGGGCTTGGCCTTTCCCAACCTAGTGCCCTCTCATGCGCTGCATTCTGGTTGGTCCTAATAAAAGTGCTGCCCACTGAAGTTTGGATTTGCTTTTTTTTCCTCATAGCCCATGGGCATTTTCATTGTTAACTTTAAGTTTTTTTGCTCATAAAATAATTTACTCTGCCCCATTCAATTGCTTATTTTCATGGTGCAAAGATGAGCAGATCTGTAGGAGCTTCTCTTGGGAATGTGAGAAAGAAGGCTTCCTAACATAAAACATGAGAAAGTCTTCTATCTGCCCATTGTTGTAGGAGGTCTGAATTAAAATGGAGCTCTGGAGACACTCTTCTTTCTCCCAGAGCAAGCCCAGCCTGCAGAGCTGTGTGGTGATATAGAGAAATGTTACCCGGTTTTCTGACAGCATCCGTAACTTTTTCTTTCAGAAACAGCGTGGCTGTATCTGAACCATGATGGCAGAATCCCTGCCCTTTTCACTGGGCACACCAGTGCCCACCTGGGAATTGGAAGCCTGGTATGAGGACTTGCAGGAAGTGCTGTCCTCGGATGTATCCAACAGGACAGACCCCTCCGTGGGGGAACAGGAGCAGGTGAGTCAAGTGGCTTCTGTCTGATGCTTCCAGAACTGCGGAGTCCTGCACCCAAGTGAGTGATTGGATTCTTTTGTTCTTTTATGGACTGGCTCAACGTCACACTATTTTTGTATCCTAAATCTGTATTGGAGGGTTGTAGCCACTGCCTAAAGTGAACAGACATCTTGTAATCCTTTAAAAATGGGCACATTCATTATGGCATAAGACCACCTTCCCCAGTCAGGTGCCCTCCTGGTGTTCCCATAATTAACTGGTCATGCTGGCACAGGTTTGGGGAATTGTAGTTGAACCTACATCTGGAAGGCAACAGATAAGAGAAGGATGCTCTGTATTTTACTTCATTTAGGATTCGCCCCCTCCGCCAAGTGATGACACGCAGAGCTCTGTTCTGGAGCGCTACAGTTGGTATATTAAACTTTCAGTGTTTCCATTTTTTTCCCAAGTTAAAGTCTCAGTAATGTAAGGAATTATTAGACATATTTCTGTAAAAAAACACCTGAGTAATCGTAGCTTTCTCAGGACTTGTAGCCTAAACCTGGGCAGGTATGCTCTGAAGCCAGTTGTACCATTCAGTAGATGTGTATAGGATTCTTCCTTCTGGCTGCCTTCCAGTATAGACTAGTCTGGAAGTAAATTGCATTGAACTCAAATTTGAGTAAGTACGCATGGGGTGGTTCTATTAAGTGTTTCATTTGAGCTGCTTCTGATTATTAGTCTAGTTTCTGCTGTGGCTCCCGCCCTGTGGAACATCATTGGCCTTGTTGGAAGGCCCTCAAAACATGGTTTTGCCGACAAGCTTGGGGATCCCGTGGTAGAGCAGAGCCTGTTAGATGGCTGTATGATAGTTAACTGCTGCACTCTTTGTATGCTTTGCAACCGTTCTGTCTTCTTTCTTGCTTTTATCTTTTTTAATTTTAATTATGGTTTTTAATGGTTTTTATGTATTTTTATGATGTACACTGCCCAGTCACCATTTAGATGGGTGGCTCTATGAATGTAACAAAATTAAAATGAATTAGGCAAAAGGTGATATTTTAAAATGCACCATGCTAAATTTATAGTACTCATTGGTAGGTCTCGTGTTCAGAAGCAAAGCCTTCAATACTCCCAGTCTTCCAGAAGACCTCTTGACTTGTTAGTGTTGTTTCTTAAACTCAGTGGCACCATCTTAAAAAAAAAAAACACGTACGGGCTTAGAGATTATTTGTGGCTTAGACGTGCATTATTATTCCACAAAGCCCGTCAAATAATGCAGTGAAATTTTAATCAGCTGGGGCTGATTTGGGGATATTTCTATTATAACGAATCAATACCAAATTTTGACACTCTTAATCTGTTTGCAATCTTCTTTCTAACCCCAAGAGCACCAGAAAACTCTGGGTGGAGGCAAAGGCTTAATACCAACATGACTCTAGGTGTAAATTGTTATCTTCATTATCTTCCCTGTCAATCACCAACTTGGTTAAATCTGCTTACTAGTAGTTCTGGCAGCATCCAGCTACACTACTAAGGTCGAAACTTGGCATTTTGGAACAGGATCCCTATTTTCTCCAATCACAAGAGCCTTGCATCGGGAATGTACAGGTAGTTCTTGTTTAGTGATCACAATTGGGACCCACAACTCAATCATTAAGTAAAGCGGTTGCTGAGTGAAACCGTGACTGTGCTTATGATCTTACTTTTGCTTTATAGACCTGCGAACGTAATGTTGTAAATGCGAGGATTGGTCACAAAGTTACTTTTTCATCATTGTTGTAACTGTGAATGGTTGCTGTATGAGACAGTCGCTAAACAAAGACTACGTGTACTAGCAAAGCTTCATTGTATCACTAGTTCTTTACATTACATTGCTAGGAAGTAATAGGCATGGCTTGGCTACTCTGCATTTGGGAGGTGTAGTTTTTGCTGTCAGATCTCAGTTGCAAGTTCAGTAACAAAGAGACTTACTATTTCAGCCATTTGGTATCTCCAGTTTGTCTTGGTAGAGTTAATTGAACGGAAGTTGGATATTGTTCCACTTTTGTCTGAGTTATTACACAACCCAGGGCTCAGTTGTGTTAAATAACTTCTTCTGCTCCACTACTTGATGACTGTATCCAACACTGAGCCAGTTAAACATGCTGTGTGAACAAGGCAACTAAGCAGATGGGGGACTCCATAGTAAGAAGGAGTTGTGAGTTCTAGACTCTTCATAGTTTCTTGGGTTGTGAACGGTGGTTTCCGTGATAGTGTAGGAAACTGTTTTCTGGGTGCAAAGCAGACATTGAGGGGTGCTGTATTCATGTTGTCACAGGTACCAGAACACCTTTTGGAGGCCAAATCCAAAATGCTGCACAGCCAAAATCTTCAGGCTAAATTGGACAGCATTACATGGCTTACCCATTCCTTACCGCAAGGACTGAATGGGTTTTTTCCTACTATATCCAAACTTGTAAAAAAGAACAGGCAGTAAGGGCAGCCAGCACAAGCTCTTCCAATTAGTTTGATTGCTAAGAACTTTAACTCTGCTCTTCAAGTCTTTCTACATTATATCACATGGGCTATTGGAGATGGAGGCCAACCATATGCACCCTCTCTTAACACCTCTTGCTCCGTTTCTTTTCAGAAGGAATTTGATGGCTTTGATGGTGCTGCTCTGTTGTGGAACTTGGAGACTTCCAATTCCTTGGAGCTTAATGGGGATGTAGTGGCAGGAAACTATGAGTTGGAGCCTGATCTTGCAGCAGAACTTTTGGAACAACTGAGTGAGGAGCCTCCAGGGCCAGCTGAGTCTGATTCTAGTCATGGCTCTCCTACACAGACCGGCACAGATGATGACGAGGGGATGTCTACTAGCCGGAAGAGGCGGCAGAGCAGACAGCCTCACGGTGGCAAGAGACAGCGTGGCAGAGAGCGAGAGCAGCAGAATGAGCGCAAAGTGGCTGAGTTGACAGCTCATAACGAGTATCTCCAGCAGGAAATAGAGCGCTTGAGTGCTGAGGTGGAAGCTACACGAGCAGCGCTCATTCAGCGGATGGTGAGCCTAAAGACATAATGAGTCTGGAACACTTTCTGAGCTGAAATTTTAGCTCCTTGCTATGGACCAAAGTGTGTAGGGCTTTATCCTTTCCAAATGGAGTGACTGTGCAGCATACTGAAAAGGAGGGGCCCTTGTTGACACATTAAAGCACATCAGTGCCCTCGACACTTATTTTGAACTTGAAGCACTCTGAGTAGCAAGTGGACTTCCCTTGCAGAACTGTACTATGTGTAGCCTAGTTATTCTAGGCAAAAAGGAGATCCCTGTCTTTCCTAGAGGCTGACTGCTTTTGGCAGTTGTGGAACTGACTTGTTCTTAATAGCTATCTGTTCTTGTTCTTGCCAGGAGGTGCAGGGAGGAATGTCTGTATGTATCTCTCTGTGCAATAGTGCTTTGTACTTGTATAATTAACAATAAAATATTTATTTTGTGCCATGTAATCCAACAGTGTGAAGGTTCTAGAACTGTTCATGGTAATAGTGACAAAAAGACTGAAAAAAAGAGAAAATTAAGTGGGATCACAGTTGCTAGCAACTGTCACCAGCAAAATGAGCCTGAAACTTCTTGAGTGCGATCACAGCCCAACAGTTCACTTTTTCTTTTTCCCATTTCCTTCTACCACACTGAGTTGCTTCTGCAGTTCCACCAACTCTGAGACCATAGTGTCCACTTGCTCTTTTGCAGCTCCTTGGGCCTTCGTATGCTTTAGGTAGCTACCCTAGATACAAAACTGGAGTAAATATTTGGCAACCTTGATCAAGAGGAAATTCCAAGTTAAAACCAGTATAAGCTAAGATTTTTCCTGGAAACTCAGATGGTATATTCCCTTGTATAATTTTTTTTAAAATTTCTTTATTATAATTTCAAAGCAGAAGGGAACAGAAATAATACCGGTCCAAATACCAAAGACTTAAAAGAATATGGAAAATACTGTATTTCTTTCTAACTATAAGGAATAAAATATGGGTGGATAATTAACAAAACATGAATAACCGTTAGCAGGTCTAAAATATTGTATGGTTAGTATATACTAATACACCATTAACAACTATAAGACATTTCACACCCAATTTCTAGTCAACATATATTTCTATTAACTTATAAAGATATTTGATTAGCACAACTGAAATGAGATGAAAAAGAAAAGCTATAAAATAACACAATGAAAAATACTGTAAATATGCCTTGTAGAATTTTGATTGCTTTGGGCCACTGGGCATCTTGAGAACAAAATGTGGGTGCTCTCACAAAATGGCTACCCTGGGTAGGGGTGGCTAGTTGCAGAACACCCATTTAACCTGATTAATGAGGTGGTTCTGTACAACAGCCACAGCAGCCTCAATCTCCTTTAGCGTTTGTGTGTTCAAGCTAATGTCACTGTCCTATTTCATTTTTGCCGTAATTTGGAAATAGGGTCCCATAGCATGCTAATCTGTAAACTACATTTTACACATGAGACCAGCTGGGGTGATGCTATATGCTTAGCCCAAAGAAGCAAACATCTTCATTTTGTATGTTATGCAAATTCAGACATAGTGGAACTAGAAAAAGGTTATTGACATAAGTCCACTCAATCCCAAAACCTGCAGCAGCATTTTGTTTCCCTGTCTTAGAAATAAGTGACGCCTAAGTGTGCTGTCCAGCTTATATGCAGACAACATGCACCAATCAGCTGTACAGGGTAGCCTAGGCTTAATAACACACTAAGTTAGTTACTAACTTCATCCCCGACACTTCAGAATCCAGTCTTACCTGTTTGGCTGCTCCTTCCTGATGCGCCTTCACTCCCAATGTTTTTTGGACATTTGCAGCTGCTTTTTGCTAGAAGCCAGGGAGATAAAAAGAAATTAAATGAGCAGCAGCCTTCAACTTTTTAGCATATCTTACTCAGACCCATGCTTCTATGATCACCAAACTGAATTTGCTTCTCTTGACAAAAAAGGAAAAAAATACCATGAGATATTATTACAGTGCAGCTAATTTCAGGAAACAGAAAGAGGGCATACACTACTCATTAAGCACCATCCATAAAAGGAAGATTGTATTGTGGTGTCACAATATTAAGGTAAAAGGCAGACAGAAAGGGCTATGCGTGTACTAGTGCTGTGTAACTATGCAGCACAATCTCAAGGTTTATTTGCGGGGGGAGGTTGAACTTGCAATGTAAGCCAAAAGGGAAAGATCAGCATGGTTAATAAGCCACAGGTACATGTTTCTTGGAGGAAGGATTCAAATTAGTTTAAATTATGGCTATTGCAGTGTAAGAACTCATGCAAGGATTCGATCTCTGGAGGAACTCCAGCATCTAAAGAATGCTCGTGGAGAGACCAATAATAATAATTGATTAAATTTATATACCGCCCAACTCCCAGCGACTATGGGTGATTTCCAAATTGTTTAAAATAGTAAAAACAAGAAAAACAGTAAGAAGCAAAAAGAAGGGTAGAGATGGCAGGGTGACAAACTGGGTAGGAGCAAAGGAAAACAACCTGGGTTAAAGCGAGGCTTCAGTCATCCTCAAGCCTTCAAAACACCTGCAGAGTAGGGGCCATTTGGATCTTGGGGGGAGCCTCATTCGGGAAGTTAGGCGCTGCTACAGAGGAGGTCTGCTTCCAGGGTTCCAATAGATAGCATTGCTTAACTGAAAGAACCTGGAGCGTACCAGCCCCGCCAGATCAAATTGGCCAGGTAGATACTATGGGAGACAGGCGGTCCCTCAAGTACCTAGACCCTATGCCACAAAGGGCTATCAGGATAACAAGTTTTACCTTTGGCTTCAGTGGGAAGTCTTCAAACTGGAAAACAGGAGAAGGGAACAAGAGAAAGACCAGAAAGAGGTAGGAAGGAGAGAAACAGTTAGATGCTACAGCAGAGGAAGGTCTTTGCAAGCAATCTAGAGCGCTCTAAACTGGATTGCCTAACCAAGTACCAAGGAGGAGGAGGAAATGGCAGCTGCAGGAGAGGTTTACTAATACTTGGGGCACAGAGCCCATACCAATCCAGTCAACAGTTTTAATGTAAAATACAATCAAGTCTGGCTGCTCTAACATGACAAATGATGAGCTGGAAAATTAAGCCATAGATGCAGAAAAGTATAAGGGGACAGAGGAAGAGAGCTGGATGGCAAAGTAAAGGCTGCAATATTTATTTTCCACCCTTTTGAAAATAAAATATGCTTTTAAAGAATATCTGAATGTGTGTTTCTCAAAATGTTTTCAGAGTATGAAAGCATCAAAGCGCAGAAGCCGATCGATCAGTTTATGCTCAATATAGCTATTCCAAGTGTGTCTCCCAGCTGGTAGAAAGCAAGCCCCCCCCAGTGATTTCTCTGGAGCAAAGGTAGCTTTCTCTGCAGCAAAGAGGAGAGTAATGAAATAATCACTACTGATCTAGAGTTGATAGACTAAACATGAATGCAAGATTTTGGGGGAAATAAATTAAGATAGCAGCTAACACCTGTAAGCGTAAAAACATTTGTGTTTGGTGTGATTTTTTAAAAACCTTGAGGCCTCTTAAACCTAGCTTGAAGTAAACTGGCTAAAACCACTGGGACTCACTTTTGAGTACAGTAGATATATCTGTATTATTTATTTACTTTACAACACAGTGAAACGTTAGCTATCTAGACCTCAATGTGAGGGATCAAATTCTGTTGAAATCTGCCTCATTCTGTCATCACACAATGACATCACGTATGCAACCTGTGTTGCCTCAATGACATATGCTTCGATTTACCAGATTTGGGAGAATAACAGCCACCTCCTCCCCCAACCAGTCTGTTAAAATGAGGCTTTGCTGTATCTATCTGCTGCCCCATCACAAAACTCTGAGAGGCTCAGAATAAATGGATAGACCTGCTTTTCCCTTCAAAGGCTCATTAGAGATGCCAGAATATGAGAAGTAGCAAGAGCCTCTGTTTGAGTGGGCACCTCTCACTCTCTGCTGCTCAATTCACTCATCTCTGTGGCATGTGAGCAATCCCTCTCAATTCTTTGTTCCAAGTCACTGGTTGGCAACGGCGATTCTACAATTCAGCAGTAATGAAATGTTTAGAAAGGAGAGGCTGAGGACACTGGTAAAACAAGGGATGCATCTTCATCCCTGGCTTGCAAAGAGGATGTGCTTTCATCTTTGGTTTTCCAGTAACGATTATGGATGAGTTAGGAGGAATTAGAGAGGAGGCAGTCTTACAGCCCGGCAATCAAGAAAAAGACTTCCTTTGTGGGGAGGGTGGTTATGCATTTGGTTCTTGACCACAGCAGCTTTAAGTGCATACTGCTTGTCAGTTTCTTTCTCATCTTCTAGAGAAAAGACTCATCTGGCTACTGTCCTCCAAGCTCATGAAGCTGTGGGGTACAGTTACGACTGGATGCACACATACCAGCTATATTAAGCAGCCTAAGAACTGGAGCAGGGATGTCTCCTCTCACTGCAAAAGGCTTCCAAAAAGGTCTAGATGAGTCAGTTCAGCCACCACTCCTTACCTGTCCTCCACTAAAACGCTTCCGCAAGTTTTCAATTTGTTCAGCCTCCAACCTTTGGAACAAAGGAGTCACCTGGTATGAAATGTAGAAGAACATGAAAAACCCAGTGGGTACTTTGTGACCTAATTACACACATACAGGACTCTGTGCATTCTAGAGACTTATCATTCGAGTGCTGTACCCAGCATCCTCGTTCACAGGTTGCATGGAAATGTTTGGAACTCAATGGACAGTGGATGGGTAACATGGCATAATTTAAGGTCCCAACATAGCTATTTCTGTCTGTGTAACCATGAAGCTTTTGTTTAATATTATTTAGCTTAATATTAAATAATATTTAATAATAATTAATAAAATAATTTACATAAAATTATATTTCACAATTAAGCTGGCATCACATTTTGCCAAAATGAAAGACTACAGGACAACACTTAGACTTGGGGAGGGGGGGGAATTTAAATTGGGGGTTCCCAAACTTCTGCTCATCAACCCTTCGTGAAGTTTCAGATTGTTCATCGACCCCCCC